AATAAGGTATCCTACTAATGAGTTGGCCGTTGGTGTGTTAGAAAACAATAGCCAGTATTTGTTAAGTCAAAGTTGAGTTGGCTGGTTTCTAAAAGCAGCAAGTTGGAAAGCTAGATCTGCCCCTCAGTTATGACGTGGTGAACAGGACCACGTGCTGGACAGGCACGATGCTCAGAGTCTTGTTTTGAGGGCACAGAGAGGAAGCTGTGACCAGCTGCCGCTGTGAATTCTAGCAGCAGTTACAAGGCCCGTGGAGAAGGATGGCTTTAGGACTGAAACCTGCAATGCCTTCATCACGCTCGGAGGCTGTGGGGCTATGGAAGGGCCTCGATGGCACCTGAATGGTATCGTGATGCGAATCCCACAAATGCAGTGCTTATGTCTAGTTTGCAGTGCCCTGCAAGAATCGTTCTAGGGCTTTCCCAGCATGTAAACTGACTCTGATTTCAATGTCTTCTCTCCTCCCCCCTCCAAGCACTTACACATAAACACCTTCCTTTTTCAGCTTGTTACATGACAATACTGGAAGGATTTGTCTCCTGATTCATAATGCAAACAAGAAAGATGCTGGTTGGTATACCGTATCTGCTGTCAACGGAGCAGGTGTGGCCACATGCCATGCCAGGCTGGAGGTTGCAAGTGAGTACCACATCACAGTGCCACAACCGCAGCTGCAGCTGCCACAGGCACTTGTCCTCAGAGCAGGCCCTCAAGAGTAACCTTATGCAGCTTCGACTGCTGGGAGGATTTCTTTCCAAACATACTGAACTAGACAAAAAGTAACTATGCTGGGAAAAACTCTTTTGTTTAGTAAAAAGACACTGTGATGTGTCCTTTGTGCCTTGTCTACATCTGCTACCTGCAGTGTTTAAAGGCTACAGTTTGATTGACACCAAGGAGGGTGAATATAAATCTCTAATTCTGAGTTACAGGTTTAGTCTGTTAAATTCTTCCTAAGGGTGGTTTGCTAATTTATGTTGCAGGCAAAATGCAATTGGGGTGCTCTACCATTGGTCTTTCCACAGTCTGGGAAGACACTGAAAGAGGCTTTTTTTTTTTTCCTCTCTTCCAGCACATGCAAACAAGCCCATTCCAGCCCCAAAGCAGTTACGGGTTCGACCAACTTTTAGCAAGTATTTGGCACTTAATGGAAGAGGACTGGATGTGAAACAAGCTTTCTCACCAGAAGGAGAGTTTCAGCGTTTGGCTGAGCAGTCTGGACTGTATGAAAGCGATGAACTTTAACTGGAAATGAAGAGGAAAACTCACACCTATAAGAGACAATTGTAACATAGATGCAGATAACTGGTGATTGCTCTAATTAGCAAAATACCTATCTACATATTTTTACTTTGACTCTTGCACATTCAGCTGTTCCCATTTTACTATGTTAGATTTTATTTATATGGGTTGGTGACTATAACCATTTACTGAGTATTGTATTTTAACTATAAAGCCCAAGAAAGCAGGCTAACTAGTTTTTACAAGCGTGGGTGGTTTTAGTTCCACCTGTGCTTGGTTACACGCTAAAGTAGATTGGTTTGTACTGCTTCTCTAATAGCCCTCCTGATAATATCAGAAGTCTGTACTGTCTGAATACTAAAACCAAATAGACTAGAGTGTTTTTATGAGAGTAAATTAGAGGCAAATAAAATTTTAAATAACCAACATCAGCCGTGATTCTTCCTTGATATGTTAAAACCAGCTTATGGGTGTCTGGCATCAGCTGTAGCCTGGCCAGGATGGATTCTTACCCTACTGCCCCTGGTCCCCACCCCTGTCTGCTCCCTCCGCTATTTGTCATCTGATAGCTATAAACTATTTAGTGTAAACAAGGTGCTGACACACCCTTACCACTGAAACATGTCAGTGAGGAAACATCACTGTTTTCTCCTTGTACACTTGACCTAAGAGCTGTCATGTATAATTTGAAGTGTTATGGTGACCATGTTTTCCTTCCTTGCTCCTTTAAGCAAGGAGTGGCTGTGACTTACCTGACTGTTGACTCTCAACAAGCTGTTTATTTGAATCAACCAAGTGGTTTGCATGTTGCTATTCACAGCCACCTTGCTCAAAACAATAATAAATACCATGGAACCTGACTTTGCCAAACTCCAACAGACAATCTATGAAGATTTTTCAACTGGACTTGCTAAAGGAAAATTTGTGAGGGTGAAACTGGCTTAACTCCTCCTGGAGGGTGAACTGTAACACTGCTGCTAGTCAGCAAACCCCGTGAGCATCTTCCAGAACAGAAAAAACATCTTGGCTTCACACCTTATTCCATACCATTTTCAGGTTCCAAATACATTCTAAGGAACCACCATACCTTTTTTTTTTTTTCCCAGGTTTCACAGATATCATCCCCTCAGTCTAGGGGCCATCCTTCCAAAATGTCTGCTGATGACTCCTTGTGTCTCTCTAACTGACAAATTAGTTTATGGATAGGTTACAGAGTCTTGATTGGTGTGATATTGCCATCGGTGTGCTGGTGTAGTGGCAACTGGCACCTGTTGTTCTTCAACCCTCAGCAATCCCACAACAGAGGGATCCTCTGATAGAGGATCAGCAGACAGCTGTTTAATTTCTTCTGTTTTCAAGGCAGCTATACTAAAAGCCCACTGATACACTTCTGGGTTCTTGAAGTACCCTCTCCCGAGATAATCTATACCAAGAATACATGGAGCGTCTGGGCCCCTCACAATGGGGTGTTTTTCCCACTCTTCTCCCCTTAGGCTCACCTCTACCTCCAATACAGTCAACTGTTGAGACACACACACGTCACTCCTGAAATACAAATGGTTTCTGCTCCTTGAAAATTTGATGGCATTATGGTGCATTGAGCACCAGTGTCCACTAGAGCCTTATACTGCTGGGGGTCAGATGTGCCAGGCCCTCAAATCCACACGGACCAATAAACTTGATTGTCCCTGTCCTCCACCTGGCTGGAGGCAGGGCCCTGCTAATGTTGGTCATAATACCCACTGACAACAAATGGGTTGGTGTGGTGCACATGGATTTCAGGCTCATCTTGATCGCTTACTTCTTGTGGCTATAAGTCAGAAGTTCTTCTCACAGGCTCATGAGCTAAGTCGACCTTTCTGCTCTGTTTGGGCACTTGATTACTGGAAACCAGAGCGGCATTTCTCCTAGAAGAACCCTGTTTTGTACTTGTTCCTCCTTCCAACTCACATGCTCGCTCTTCTAGGAGGTAGGTAGGTTTTCCATCCCATTTTTTCCATGTCTTCTCCATAGTCACACAGGCGATGCCACAGCTTCCCCCATGGTGTGTACCAGTTTCCTTGAATAGAGAAACTACAGCTCCTAATAGCCGAGATCCTAGTCCATGCAGGTGGGGAGTAGGACATGTCCTCTTTAAATTGCTGGAAATCTTGAGACAATGCCTCCACAGCCGCAATGAGAGAGGAAGAGAGATTTTCTTTATATTGTCATAGTTGGCAAGCCAGTTCATCCACTGTTAGTCCCTCTTCATCTCTCCAGTCCATTAGTGCCAATGCATTGGCATATGATGAGGGTGTGCTCTGTACAATCTTTCACCACATGGGCTGGGTCTTTGGACTTCATCTGGATCTGTGGGTCGCTGGGCATTATCTGGGTCATAATAAACCATTTCCCATACAGTTAGCTCACTCAAGTATTAAATGCCTCTGTCCATAGTGGTCCATTTACTTGGATGGCATACAAAATCTTCCTTGAAGGGATACCTCTCCCTCACATTTGACAGCAGTTGCCTCCAGAGACTGCGATTTTGTGTCTTCTTTCCAATGGCTTCATCAGTGCCCCCTTCCCTAGACAGGGATCCTAGCTGCCTTGCCTCCCTGCCCTCTAATTCCACGTTGCTGGCTCCCACTATCCCAGGTAACAAGACAGCGACCGAAATCTTTAAGCCTGTCCCACAATTCACTTAGGGATAAGGATCGGGTGACTATTACTGGCTCTGCCTCCTCCCCTTGTTCTCGTGACGGGCCTGGCTCGTCATCACCTTGTACACTGCGAGGGGATTTTCTTGGGTATTTCTTCTTATGTCTGGGAGCAACTGACACCATCATGGTGTTCTCTGGTTCAGCTGCAGCACCTGTGGTCGGGGTTGTAGTGGCTGCAGTTTCCATTGTGCACTTCGGAGTGGCTGCAGTTTCTGTTACTTGGTTACCAGGTGCAGAGCCCTTCTCTTCCTCTTGAGGGTGCTGGGCAGTGTTTAAGAGCACTCGGTAAGCATGGGCTAAGCCCCAGCGTGTTGCAGTAGGCTGTGCCTCTCTGGAATTACCCAGGTGACAATATTTTTTTTCCAAATATTCTACTAAATCTTTAGAATTCTGCACTTGTGCAGAAGTGTTGTTCCAATACACTGGAGGTGTCCACTGTTGTAGGTACTAGCCCATGCTACTCCACAACCCCAAACACTCATAATTCTCCAATCTCGGGGTAGGTTTCCAGGTGATACTCTTAAATAGTTGCTTAACCCTGAACAAAACTTGAACCACAGGCAGGAACACACTAGCTCCTAGCAGTAAAACAACCATGTTAACACCAGCATTCCAAAAGGTATCTCAAATTCCTGAATTCCTCAAACACAACTGTAAATAGCCCCAGGGACGATGACAGCACCCTGTCATAGATAAGCATCACATAATACAGCATAAACATGATCTTAACCCAACTCTCAGGGACTGTGAGCAACAGCATGGGAAATACATAATCCAAGTTAGGTGATAAAATCTTAAGGAGCCAAGAAATCAACATTGTTACCTGTTCTGCCGTTATCTCAAATTTCATGCCCCACATTGGGTGCCAAAAACTGTTGTGGTTTGAACTCAGCCAGTAGCAAATTGCCAGGTGGCCAGTTGTTTACTTCCCCACCCCACCCCCAGTGAAATAGGGGAGGGACAGAAAAAAAAAAAAAAAAAAAAAAAAAATTATTTGTAGGTTAAATAACAAAAATGTACTTAGCAAAAGAACGACAGTAATGATAGTAGTCCAAAATGGGTAAAATGCAGACGTGGCTCACCGAACAGCGACTGGTACAGAGCTCGACCCGTAGGCCCGGAAACCAAAACAAACAGTGCACGTGCCCGCCCGTATGCTGAGCTTCGATGTCACAGGACATGGAACGTTCCAGCGATCGGTCGGGGCCCAGCCCTCCACCTGTGCTCCCTCTCAGCACGTAGGGAGTTACCTCTATCCTGGCCCAAACCAGGACAGGCTCGGCCTGTCGGGATTCAAAGCAGAAAGCGCCGGGAGCTGCCCCGGCCCAGTCTGGCCACTATGGAGCCTGTGGTGGACCCGCAGCTGAGCAGCAGCTGTGCGTGAGGCGGCCCCGGCTCCCCTCAGGGCTCGGCCCCGGCTCCCCTCAGGGCTCGGCCTGCCCAGGCCACGCTGCCATTACCCCGGGGCCGCGCGGAGCCCCGTCACTCAGCGTCCCTGCCGGCCTCCCCGGGGACGGAGGGCTCTGGCCTCTGCCTCCTCTGAGGCCCTGCCACCATTTCCCCCACAGGTGCTGTGAAACCCCGGATCAGTTACAGCAAAGAAGTGGAGGTGAAAACCACCCTGCGGGAGCTGGTCATCTACATCATCTTCCTGACAAACCTCTGTGTAGGTAAGTGAACACACACCTGAGGTGACTGTTAACAACTAATTAATATGCAGGCTGTGCCTCTTTTAGTATTTACTCCTGTCTTCTGCTCAAGTGTCACTTCAGTCAAAATTGCTCAGGCTGCTGCCTTCCAGCAGCGTGACTGAAGGACAGCTGAAGCAGAGAAGCAAGGTTAGAAGCTGTGGTCATCCCCTAATTTCAAGCATCCCCTCTTTGCCCCTTCTTTCCAGTGACATTTGGCATGGTGAACATGGAAAGGTACTTCCTGAACAGAGTCATGTCCTATGTCTTCCTGGAGGCCTCTGGGGATGACAGTAGCGGTTTCAGCAGTATTAAGAGCAGAGATGATTTCTGGAGGGTAAGGCTTTCATTGCAAATACGTTTCCTGAGAGAGTAAACAGGTGTTAATTCAAAGCAATACAGTCTCATAGTTCTAAAAACCATGTGCTAGCTGTGCTTTCAGCTGAAGAAAGGTAAATACCTTCTTAAAATGTGTTTGGAGAAATTCTGGGTACAAACAACGATACTGATACTTATAACTAATCAGTCAAGGAAAACAATAAGCCAATTAATTGCCACATCATATTCTCAGTATTAGGCTTGGTCTGAAAAAAAGCTTCAATAAAACCAGAAAGATTTCAGCTTTGCAGTTCTTTTGACTTCCAGGTGTTTAAAAAAAAAAAAAATAAAAATTTATGGTTTCTGCTGGGACAGCCAGGAAAATGTACCATTTGGTTCACCTGGTGTGCTGTTACATTACATCATATTTCAGTGACAACTGCAAAACATTTATCTGTTTCCAGTACGAGGTGGAGGACTTCCCAAAATTACCAGCATTACCCAAGTGACAGCAGAAGGCAGTTTCTCATCCTACTCTTTCTTAAAAATGGAAATGCCTGGTTATAACAATTCACTCGGAAGAATTGCCACACACCCTCTTATCACGGTGTCTGTCATTGCAAGTCTGTAAAATAATGCTATACAATGTACGTGCTCATGTACTAGAAATGGTTGTAATACATACTCAGACCATGGGGGCATCTTGTTTTGTACTCAGAATAATGTTCTCCACACATTTCATGCTCTTTATTTGCATCTAAGAAACACCTAGAAAAAGAGGGATTTTTTTACCGCTCCTTCAAAAAAACACCAAACTTCTTCATTTAGATTCAGAAGACTAAAAGCCTAGTCAGAAATATCCCAAAGCAGATCTTCAGAGATTAAGATAACCCAACAGATTTTGTTAAAACACCATCTAATGTTTGTGTTTAAACGTATTTGTTTAGAATTCAGCAGAATTTTTCAATGAAACCCAAACAGACGTATGTTATAGTCTTACCCTGAATAATCCCATTACATATCTCTGATGGAATTGCACAGAGAATAGAATTGTCTCATAGCAAAAATATGTAAATATATCATATTTATAAGACAGCATATGGGTGGGAATTGTTTGTATTCTAGCTTTAAACTCTAGCTGTAAGTAACTTGAGAACCCTATAGAGATTTGTGTGCTAAAAAGTGGGGTAATGTTGGTATTGCAATCTTTTGAAACTTGTATGTATAGTTTGCAGAGGGCCCCTTGTTGGATGGACTCTACTGGGACAAATGGTACAACAATGCCACGTTAACCCCCGAGAACAAGAGCTATATTTACTACGAGAATTTGTTGTTGGGCGTAGCTCAGATTCGCCAGCTGAAAGTACGCAACAACACTTGCGCCATCTACCCATATTTCCACACTTTTTCAGAAGACTGCTACAGTGACTATCATTATCGAGCTGAAGACAGGTCTGACTTCGGTCTAGGTAACGGATCTGAGTAAGTCATCCTCCTTCAGCTCAGAAATGTTTTTGAAAACCTAACTGAATCCTAAATGCCAGTATTCTTCAGTTAGTAACAACCATGCATGCAATGAGCTGAGTTTTTCTCTTGTTTACATTGAAATAAACCATGGATTTGGGTTTGTGCCAATGCTATAGATGGGAATTTGGCAGGAGAAATCTATAGCGGAGAGACAGGAAGAACTGGAAACAGCGAGCCCAGTTCAGCAGGAGCACATGTTAGTGGGCCTATCTCCACCAACATCTCTGAAGAAATGCTCAATTAAATGAGGCCTGAATTTAAATCCCATGTTTATAAATTGGAGTCATGCTAAAATGCTCTGGAAACAGAGCCAGAAGGCGTGCTTCGCACACTTCATTTAGCAGTAATTTAACCCAATGGAAGTGAGCATGCCACGGTAATAATGAACTATGTAAACCAGAAATATTTCATTTACCTATAAAGTTTTTAAGATGATAAACTGTCTGGCCTACTATTGGGTGAAATCCAGATTCACAACCAATTGCTGTTTTGTGACTGTACCGAGTATTCAGCAAATAAGAGCAATGGGAATATTTTAAGGCCATATGTCTCAAGCATACTCCATGTAAAGAAAAGTGGTTTTTTTAAAGGTCTGACTTAAGTGGTCAGTTGCGGGTGCAGAAGAACGCAAGAACAAGGATTATATCAAATAACAGTTAAAGAAAGCTTCCTTCAGTCCAGGTTCCCTAAGCTGAACGGATTTGTTTTCCCATTTCCGACAGATGGAAATACACCTCGGCCTCCTCACTATCCCCGTGGTACTGGGGATCTATGAACTTTTACAGCAGTGGAGGATATATGTTCACCTTACCTAAATCAAAGCAGGAGAGCACGGAGAAGTTGGCATTTCTCAGGCAGAATGGCTGGCTCACTAGAGGAACCAGGGCTGTATTTATCGACTTCTCAACATATAATGCTAACTTAAACCTCTTCTGTGTAATCAAGTGAGTTCTTACCTTTAGTACATCTGTAATCCAGTTTACTGAGGCAGGATACTTCCCTGCAGACACAAGAAAAAGCTGGTCACCTCAGGCCTCTGTAACCATGTTTCTTGGGTAGCAGCTGGCAAAACAATAGTTCATTAAAAATGCAGAAATTCAGTTAGTCCACGGAGCAGATGCAGATGTTTTGGGGGTTTTTTTGTGAATAGTTGGTGTCTGGTCTGTACAGCTAGTGGTTGCTGTCTGTTGGAATAGATTTCATAGCCTTTTGCAAGGTCAAAGACTGGATTATTACTCCTCTTGTCAGCTAGTGGAAGGAAAAGACCCAGGGTAGGGTGAATGTTTGCTCTTTGAGACACGGTTTCTTTAACAGCTTTTAACCAACCCATAGCTTGGGTATTCCAAGAGCATCTCCTTTTTTCCCCCCAACCTTCCCTACTATGTAGTACATGTAAAACATGGGGGACTTAGTATAGCCCTTACAAGATCTTACAGCTGTAGGAGTTCCAGTAACATACTATTAATGTCTGTTATTAATATTAGAAAATTAAGGGCTGAGGTGATTTAAAGGGATGGTAACTAACACCGGTCTCCCCGTTTTTTTCAGGCTGGTGGTAGAGTTCCCTGCTACTGGGGGTGCTGTCACCTCCTCTCATATCTACTCCGTGAAGCTCCTCAGATACGTGGCATATTCTGATTACTTACTAGCTTCTTGTGAAATCATCTTTTGCCTCTTTATCATTACATTCATAATCCAGGAAGCTATAAAAATGGTAAAACTGAAAAAGGGATATTTCAGAAGTGCCTGGAACTGGCTGGAATTGCTGCTGCTGGGGGTGAGCTACCTCTTGACTTTCACCTCTGTGCTTGCCAGCCTAGGCTGGTGCTGGGTAGACAGCCAGCGAGCCACGACGGCCCAAATCTGTCTGGTTAGAGTCAGTCACCCCATGTCCTACACTGAGGCAGCCACGCGGCCCACTATGGTTCAGCACACTTGAACTCTTTTCTAACCTTGCTGCCGCCCTGCTGCAGTTCCACATCCTGTCTACTCATTACCCACCATGTTTGTTTTAGCCTTAATCTTTGCAGAGCAGGGAAGCACTAGAGCATAAGAGAGCTAACATGGTAAAATTAGAATGTATGCAGCATGTTACAAACCCAAAATTACCCCAGTACAATTACAAATTATTTGGCTAATACTACTGTCATATATACAGCTTATGACAAAACATCCAAAAAGCTCAGGTTCTCCAAATCTAACCAAGGGCCTTTAGAAAACAGTACAATCTTTCCTGTGCAAATGGGGGGACTGTACCTGGGCTTCAGTTTCACTTGCTTCTGCTTTCCTTCAGACCTCTGTCCTTGCCATTGCCTTCAACATCTACCGCACTGTAGAAGTGTCCCTGCTAATGGAAGAGCTGCTGTCTGATGACCACGTATATCCAAACTTCTATTTCCTTGCGTTCTGGCAAGTCCGTTACAACAACATGGTTGCTATCAATGTCTTCTTTGCTTGGATAAAGGTACTGGGGATGGGGTTTTTTTCCCCCTTTTTTTGTACTTAAGAGTCATGTTTCTAAGCATAGCATGAATGTTCACTCGTACCTTTTCATGGGTGAATTGCAAAGGTAGGGCTGAAAGGGAGAATTTTGTTTATAAGATTCCAGAAGAGTTTAAAATTATCTCCTTCTCATAAACATGGGCCACACAAATTCCAAGCCCATCTGAAAAAATACTTTGCATATGGGCAGCTGTCTGCATTGGAGCAGCTGGGAAATCACCATGGCCAAACAGCCTCCTCAGACTCGGTCTTTTCCTAGACCCAATATTATCCAGGTCACAGCCTGACCCATGCAGATGGCATGGCTGTAATAGGTGAAGCTATTCGTAGCTTTTGTATCCAAAAGCTATAAATACAGTTGCTACTTTTTAACTGCAGAGGAAGGCAAAATGTGTCTGAACTTGATTCAGAAGGAGTTTTTTGCCGGGACACCTTTAATTTCATTCTTACTTGCAAATAGATTTGCTGATATCTGGACAGAGTAGCCAACTTCTCTAAGATTAGGGGCTAATTCTGTTCCTAACCAGGTGCTCTGGGGCCAAACCAATCCTGCATGTCTGCCTGCCACTGCCCCAATCTGCTGGACCCTGCTGGCCCGGGCTGGGGTCTGCACCAGCAGACATCAGTGACTTTGGTCTGGGTGGTCTCGGTGTTCCCAGTGACTGGGTGAAACTTCCCACAGCTTTGCCTGGCCCCGCACTGCTCAGGGGCCCGCTCTCCCCTGAGGGCTTTATGAAACACCCAGCACAACAGGCAGGGGAGGTGCTCGCATCTGCCAGAAGAGATCACACTTCACATCACGCCCCACGTACCTGAACATCAGCTATGATGGAAAATCACGTCCTTTTAAATGAAATGGGCTTTGGGCCTTCGCCTGCCTCCCAAGGCCGAGGCTGCAGGAAGAAGCTGTTAGGGAGCAGGGGCTGTGGACAGTCTTCCTTGTTATGTCCATTCTGTACCCCAGCTGCACCTCCACCCTGCATCCCCCTCCCCTCAGACTGATGACTGTTCATTTAGTAGCACAAATTGTGTTTATACTTAATGACTGTCATTGAACAAGGCTTTTGTTCAGGCCTTGTTTCAACCCAAAGTAAAAGAGAGCTCCTCACCAGCTCAGCCCGTCGGGGAATCCTGGGATGCAGGAGGGTGAGGTGGCTGGCGGCCTCCTTGGCGAGGGCGCAGATCTGCTAGAGCTGATACAGGTATCAGTAGCCAGCAAAGACCTGTCTGCACACTATTAGCTTTAGCACATGAGCATATCCGCCCTGCAGAACATTGATCTTCTTCAGAAACATACCCAACCCCAGTTCTCCTTACAGGTACATGCCACGCAACTTATTTCTAGGTAAGACTAACCTGTAAATTATGATCACGTATAACAGTCCAAAAATTCTGTTCAGAAGTTGCAATGTATTTTGATCCCCCAATAAATTCTTTTCTCTTGCAGATATTTAAGTATGTAAGCTTTAACAAAACCATGACGCAGCTGTCCTCCACTTTATCTCGCTGTGCCAAAGACCTCACTGGATTTGCCATCATGTTCTTCACCATTTTCTTTGCCTATGCCCAGTTAGGCTATTTGGTCTTCGGGTCACAAGTTGAAGAGTTCTCCAGTTTCCAAAACTGCATGTATGCTACTTTCTAAACTTTTTGATACAAACCCCCCAGTTTGTGCAGGTGCAAACCAGCTTATGCTAAGCAGAACTTAAGGTCTCTAACACTTAAGCTTATTTCGTAGAGTAAAACCAATTTTGTCTGCTCTACAATCTGTTGCCCAAAGCCTTCATCTGTTGAGAAGAGACCACATGTACATTAAACAGGCCAGGGAAGCATAAACTGTGAGTCCCCACAGCTCTCAATGCGACTGGGACCTGTGTGAGCAGGTCCCTGGGCAATCAGGCAGGCCTGGCCTCTTTGAAAAGCTGGAATGGGAAACTACCCCGCAGATGTGCCACTGGGTAGGTGACACAGCCCCCAGCATGAAAACCACAGAAGTGCTTGAGCCCCAAGAAGCTCAAAGCACAAGCTGAGCTTGTTTGCAAACAGGAATTGCTGCCCTTTCAAAAAAACATCCAACTAAGAGTCCCCAGATCCCATCTGCTGGCTCTGTTACTTTCTCACCCAGAATTTTTTTCAGCTACTCCTGTTGCAACAACATCAGATCAATTCCAGGTGCCAGCTCCTCACAGCCTGTAGCAATCCTAACCTGTCACCCGCAGTGTGCATTTGGCCCATAGCTATGTTTCTTACAACTTTAGAGAGATTTAGTGTGCCAGGTTGTTTGAAATCAGCTTTTCACGTAAAATTAAAATACTTCTAAATCAGAAAAACATGAGATATTTCCAAGATGCTGCAATACAGAGAAATAAGTATTTATTTGTCTTAGCTAGGAACAAAATTCCCTGTAAGGGCACATAGGGACCTATACTGCTACCTTCTGTACTAAGAAGATAAAGGATCATGGAGCTTGAACAGAAGGAAAATAATGTTTAAAAAAAAAACAAAAACCCAGGTAATTTATCAAAAAAAAAAAGTATTTTCTCATACAAGCCATTAAAAAATGCCTTTGTACTTTCAAATTCTCAAATACATGCTAAATGCCCAATTTAACATTGTTATATTATTGTGGCTTGCCTTTTGATTTCAGTGACTTAAGTAATAGTGAATCACTCTCAATTGCACCTATTGCTTTTTTAAAACAATGTTTACAATGCTTCTCTTTAGGAGAAGCCAGTCAACCTCATTCTGGTATTTTTTTACTCCCAGCTTTACACAGTTTCGTATCGTGCTGGGAGATTTTAATTTTGACACCATAGAATCCGCAAACAGAGTCCTTGGACCCATTTACTTCATCACATTTGTATTCTTTGTGTTCTTCATATTGCTGGTAAGTACCATCTTAAAATACTTATCCTTTTGCCTAAGCAGTAGAGAAGAACTGTGGCACGGTGCTCTGAGACAGTGGTTTTCACCCCAGGGTGGCAGTGGGCTGGCCCTGGCTGCCCCTCAGTACACCCGGGCAGAGCAATGGTCCGAACCCTTTTGCAGGAATTCCCAGAGGGTGAGACACTGCGCTGCTCTCCCTTCCTCCAAACGGCCACAAAAGGGGCTTTTGGACCACAAAACAAGCACATCGCACCTTTCGCTCTGTTGAACCACCCTTTTGTTGAGATTTTAATTTCTGAAAACTTAACTGAGTGCTCTTGAAAACTCTGTAATGTCAGCCTTGTCAGGTAAGAAGGTTAACGAGAGACTTTGACGGGACTGTTGGCTTTATGAGTTAGGTTGATGGTTTCATTAATTACTTCAGATTGAAACACCACCTGAAAAAGCTACAAGTATACAACAGGAAATGCGTTACCTCCAAGGAACTGGGCCTTTTAGTTGGTACTGCAAATAGGAAATAAATTTTCTCCCAAAAATATTCTCTAAGACCCTAAAATTATCAGATAATTTAACTGCATTAGAAGCACATCTGCACCCAGAAAAGTCCTTCAGTTCCATTAGTTAGGTACCCCAGCATAGAACAGCCCTCAAAACAACAGCCCTAGCATAATATAAATGCAGTTTCCAGAAACAAATACCTAACTGCATCCTTCCCGTGCAGAACGTGTTTTTGGCTATTATAAATGACACCTATTCAGAAGTCAAAGCAGCCTTTCAAGCGATACCCAGTCAAGAACTTCACCTCAGAGACCTCTTCAGACAGGTAAGTAAACACTTCTGTAAGTACCTCATTTAATTCAAGAGGAGTTCTAAGCTACGTCAGCAAAAAGCCTTAAACGGCTGGGCTATAACCACTTCAGAACACGCAGTATTTGATTTTTCACTTTAAATAAACATTTGACAGGTACAGACCTCCTTCCACAACACAAACCCGCAGGAGAGCCTAATGCTGAGCGTAGCGTATGAGTTAGGGTGCAAGGGACCTACCTTCTCCTTTTTAAAAGCATTATTTAAGGCCAGCCTGGTTTGTGATCCATCCCATCATCAGCTTTCTTCAGAGCTTACTGTTGCTGCTGCTCTTCCAAACTGAGAAACTTTAGATCTTCTCATGCAGAGAAGCCGAAATACGTTACCTTTAAAACTTCACAAAGCTCATACCGTTTTTACATGCCAGAAAGAAGCACCAAAGAGGAACAAATCTTTCCTTTTCAGTTCAGCTTGAAATTACAACCTGCCAAATGCATATGCTGAAGCCAGAGATTTTGTGTGCAGTCCTGTTGCTGAGACCACCCCAAAACCTGACTTTAACTGGGGAATTCACCATCGCCAGGGAGATCAATCAGCCTGAGCTGGGTGTGGGATGGGAGACCTGGGCCTTCCGACTGTGCTGCTCCAAGCTAGCCAGCCCCGAGTGCGTGGCAGAGGAGGGTTGGCAGCTGTATCCACCTGGAATCTCCCTGTAGGGTTTTACGAGCAGCACATAGATGAGTTCCGCTGTTCCTGCAGCGCCTGGCTTTCATTACGGAGAAGGCAGGCAGGACTCTGGCCAGGATACAGCGGTCAGGGCGCAGCAGCACAGCTTAGATGCCCCCACCCAAGCTCAGTCTTACTTACCTAGGACTACAGTAAGATTAAATGGAATATGCCTGAAAAGAAAAACTCTTACTGGCTTTGGTTGGCTGTTTACCTTCAGGGATTTCATGACAAATTTGAGATAGAGCAGGGTAAGTTCTCTGAGCTAAGGGAGCAAAGAAAGTAATAGACCGATACGGTTTGTGTTTAACTGCCAAGGCCTTATGTGGACAGTTTGTTCCTTGCATTCAAATCTTTGTGCAAAAGTGTCTCTGTTTACACACAAGCTCTTTAACATGCCTGTCTTCCCCTGTCTACATTCAGGCTTGCAATAAGGCCCTTATCATGCTCAGGCTGAAGAAACCCCAGATGGATAGAAATGCAGCAGAGGAGAGCTCGGAGAGGTAAGATCTTGGCCTCTGCTGTTACCCCCCTGCACCGAGCACAGACCTCTTCTCACAGGACTTCTGTCTCTCCCATCTGTGTGAAGTACAAGCACGGAATTTTCGGCCACTCAAAGTAATAGTTCTGAGCTTTCCAATGATGACAGCACTAGTGAAAAGGTAAGCTTTATTCTTTCCTATATTCTTAGAAACTGATGATTATATTTCCCAAGTTAAATAATACAAAAGGAGTCACAATTGTCCCCACTCTTACTTATAAAAGCTGTTTCTCCACAGGATACTATTTTTAACATCATAGGAATAGCAAAAGCTAGACCTATAAGGAAAAATCACTAATTACACCCAAAACATCAAATGAAAGCCTGTTCAGGCAAGGTCATACACTATGCTAGCAGAGCTGGCCGCAGGGTGAGGTCAGTGTGTCTCAGCAGTGGTATAAACTTGTGAACTGGGCATTTGCCCAAATGTTAAACAGAAACAGCTGTATGGAAAACAAACACATTTTACAACAATGTATTGGGTCATAGGCTGCATCCACAGCAAGAAGGAAGATTACTATAGCTTCCTTTTACTTTACAAAAAGGTTTCCAGCAGTCTTTGGTAGTTCCGTATCTGGGGTAAGCCTGTGAAAGTACTTCTAAAAATTTATAATTAAAAAAATTTTAAAAAATCACTTCTACAAGAGAGGGAAAGGCCCCTTGGCTAGCTGTAAACATTACTAGCCACCATGCTTGCAGTCTCAACGCTGAAAAGAAATATGTATTCCTCAACTCTGTTTTTTTGGAAAGGACAGAAAGAAAATCAAGTTTCAGACAGAGAACATGTTTCTCCCCAATGCTGCATGTATCTTCTGCAGGCATGCCCCCGCCCCACAGGAGCAATCGTGTTACAGGTGTCCCAGGTGCCTTTTTTATAATTTATTTTTTTTTTAAATCTTTCTGGTGTTGAATAGAGCCATCTGATGTTATCAAAGCTACAGCAAGAGGAGGAAACACTGTATGAGAAGCCTTCATCTGTTAAGGACATGGACACACTCACAACTCAGAGCTACACCTCCACTGCACAATTTCAGCAGTAAGTGTGTACACGTCTGTTCTTGCAGTCTCATTCCCACCCCCAGGGATGTTAACCCTAGCTGAAACCCTCACCCAGGGACAACCTGAGACACACAAAGGTCAGTGATTTTAAGATATTTTATGTGCTCTTTACAGTGGCTGACGACAGCTGCCCTTAGGGAGGGAAGAGGGAAACAAAAGAATTTAGTAGAGCAGCCTGTAAGGACATTAGTCAAGAACGAGGTGGGAGAAGAATTTGAAATATTGTCACTCTTCTAGAACATCTTGTGGCTGCCCAGGGAGGGGGATGTTTCAGGGCTGGGACCCCTGGCAGCTGACACAAGTGAACCAAGAGGAAGTTTGCAAATGCAAGTGTAAGGGCATCATGGTCTCATGGATATGTGGCTGTGTTTGTGTGTTCTAGGCTCTTCCGTTACGTGATGCAGTTGGGGAGGAAATTAAATAAAATTAATGTGCGACTCAGAAGACTTGAGAAAAAAAGGGAACGACTGAGGCTACTTAAGGGTGGATGCCACAGTAAAACACACAAGCCCATCTGGTAACAGAGATGGCCTGACTCTTCACACAGCTTAAGTAAACCCACTTTTTTTTTTTTTTTTTTTTTTTTTCCTGTATAATAGAAGCAGTATTGTTGCTTCTGGGTCTTTTCTATGAGAGTTTCAGGTGCTGCTTTAACTGAAAAGAAAGGACCAACCTTGCCAGGATTCTGGATAAGCAGCATCTCTGCAAACGCCTCAACAACATTTATTCTTCTGCCTTGTTCTGGAGCTGTTGTGAGCCAGAGCTGTGCCACCACGAGCAGTGGCAGCATCCTGGGCCCTCCTTGCTCTCCTCTGAGCCCAGCACAGCCCACGGGCCGTTGGCCTTCACTTCCCTGACTGCTTTCTTGTGCTAGTGCATCTGCTGCCCAGGTTAATGCTTATTTCTCAACAATTTTTCTTCCAAAACAGGTTATTGTTGCCTTCAGAAAAAAAAGTATTCTGTCAGGGGAAAAAAAAAAAAAATAAAAAAATCAATTTGGTCGGGCCTGAGCAGTTGGTACCACTAGAGGGTGCTTTGCGTCAACCTTGCACCAGCCTGACTTTTCAGAACACCCTTTTTATTCCTAAATCCATTTATACCTGTTGCCGTAGAGACAAGACATTCCGTGCGGGCCAGAAGCTGTCTGCTGCTCTGGAGTCATTAATATTTGTTCGTTGCTGGGACTCAGCCACAGGAAGAAATAAAACACATGTCCATGTGCTCTCTGAACACGCTGCAGGAGGACACGGGCCCAGCGCCAGGCTGCGACACCCCACCTGTACCACGCACTCTGTACCCTGTCTGACTCAGCCTTCAAAGTATCCTCAATCTGACAGAAATCCTGCAAGGATTTATAATATCCTAAAGCCACCTGGTGCTGCAGTCTCTGTGTCTAACGTCAGGGCAGAGCAGCTGCATCCCAGAGAAGGGAGCAGACAGGGGTTTGAAGGGACCCAAAAGGGATCCCTTGGGCACCACACAGCTCATGTTGGTTTGCCTGTCGGGGTTTTCACTGATTCTGTACTTCAGCCTCCTGGCCGAGCCAAGCTTCCCTCTCTCTTCTAAAAGGCAGCAGTTTAAAATAAAACGCCTCCTCCCTTCGTTTCCAAAGGGTTGTTGTCGCTATGCAGGATCCCAGGACACTTGTCCCAGCAAACACAGGTGGCTGTCGATTTGTTTATCCCGGTAACTCCACAGCCCAACATTCAGGGAAGCAGCTGGACCGCACCTCTGGCAGCTCCAGCCTTCCTCTCCCTCTCCTACAAAGAAATCCTGAAACATGTAGACACAGTTACTTACCCAGAACTTCATGGAAGAGCTTTCCAGCACTCCTCAGCCTCGCTCTACCCCTCAGGGGCACAGGAAGCCCTCTTTACAGCTTGCCTCCCTTCTCCTAGCAAGCTCCTTGCCCTTCACTGTAATACACGTAACGGCTCAAGCAAACCTGTTTAAAGAGGTAAAGCTTGGAATACTACAGATCCGTGCTCTCAGAACTGCTTCTTCAGCAAGGAAGATCTGTCCCAGTCTCACTGAGCTTTTTGCACCCTCAAAAATATGTTTCTCCTACGTTTTGTCTAATGGCGTTCAACACCAACTTATCTTCCTTCATTAAAGTATTCTTAGTGGTTTAGTGGGAACTGCTTCAAATCCACACGCAATGAACTATCTGAGGGATTTTTGTCTTCTCATTAGCATCTTGATCACAGCAAGCTTCACTGAATAAATAATGCTAAGGAAATACAGGGGACTGTAGAACAGATCTGTAGCAGCCTTGTTCGTTCCTCAGGCCAGTGTCCTAAGAATTTCTGCTTCCTTTTCCACCCATCTTTAGAGGAAAGCCATGGGCTCAGAGGGCAGGTGATTCTGTCCCACCCTGAGGAATGTACCAAAGGCTGCCTTCTGTTTCCACTCCCACACTTGCTCCCTCAACTTCCTACTCATTTTTCTTGTTCCCATCTCCCTGCACTGCCACACACCCACTAGCAGAGTCTTCACCTTCGGGAGTTCTTCTGTCCCCTGCCAGACTTTATGCTGAAGAAAGGTGGACTTACACAAAATACAATGGAAGTCAGTTTGAAAGACATCAATCACTTTTTGTATGAACTTACATCAATATACTGTGAAAAAAAAAATATCTATTTGGTCCCAAGGAAAAGCATCCTCTTGTGTTTACAGAATTGTGTGCAGTAACAGTGTTTTCTGGCCACAAACACAGCAGTGACCGCAGCGGTACTGATTTGAAGGCTAAGAGATCATTATGGATACAGAGACCCAACCAAATACTGCTTGTCAGCTGAAGGTGTACCCACTGGCAGTGAATTAATTAGCCCAGTAACAGCTGAACATGCTCTCTGCCCCATCGACTCCCAGAACCGCTCCTGCCAGAGCAGGAAGGAGCCAGACTCACGGTTTGCTCAGCAGCACCGCGCAGCAGGCCGGCACGCCGGCAGGAGCGGAAGCCCACATGGCACTGTGAGCCCAGCTGGCAGCTCAGGAGCCGATCTGGTCCCTCCCCTGCTGGGAGGCACAGTCTGAACAGGGAAAATAAGGCTTCGACTGCTGGAGCTTCCCCAAGGGCTGTCGCAGCAGCTGAGCCAGCACGCGGGGGAGCGGGACCTGCCGCAGCAACGCCCCGACACCACAAACACGTACGGGAGCAGCCAAGGACTCGGCCCTTGTTTTTAAGAGATGGCAGTGGAGGAGAAAGCATGATGAGAAACAGATATATGACAATAAAGGTTAAGGTACTTTTATTATAAAAGTCTATACAATGAGCACCAGACATAGCAATGCAATTATATCTGGTTTAGTTATATATATTCCATATCTATATATCCATATAGATATATAGGTTTTGCTTTTACCAAAGTAAAACTGTTATATCACAAAATGCCTAGTTCTACCATTTATTTATTGCTCAACAAGGATGGCACAAAACACACTCAGCATAACTGTTGCCATGCTTATCTACTATACTGAATAAACAGCCAAACACTGCATAACAAACACAAAGCAGCTGTTAATTCTGAATTGGAACCAGTCTGATCACTCACTCACTTATAAAAATATTGGAATCATATAGATTTAAGCATTATAAAGGAGGAATATATTATTTAAAACATTTAAATAGTGCATATTGACATTTTGCATGTGGTATATAAAACACAAACATTCATGTACAACACTATACAGTACACATTAGTTTCAATGTTTGGATACACCCGTGTCTGCAGACTGATAAAAAAGTAACTGAAGTGTACATTGCACAATGGAACTGAATAAAATTATTTATAAATGGTCTCAAGACTAGTTTAACCTCATCATTCTCTAAGGTCCCAGATCATTTTGCAGTTAAAAAACAACAACAAAAAAAAAAAAGGCATACCACCAGTGCTCAATGGTTCTAGTGCTTTCTTCTTCTGAATTCCAAAATTACATGCCTACAAGCAGAGTAAAACAAAAGAAGTATCCTACAGTACACAGATGAAATCTGAGCACTAAAAATCCTACTTTCAACCTATTTCATATGCTTCATGACAGAACAGCAAGTCTATGAGGTTACAGGCTAGCCATTTCTTGCATTGTGAGAAAGTTCATTTTTGGTCTTTCATAAAGCAGTGTGAAGAACAGCTGTGTTGACATTAGCCAGTCATAAAAACATGCAGTGAGAGTAGGTGCATGCAAAACATGGCCACAAACTAATACATTGAAGAGAAGAAAAAAAAAAACCAAACAAAAAAACCAAAACAACTGAGAAAGCACCAGTTAAAATTAACACTTAGATTTTGCCAGATCAAAACCAGCTGCTGATGGCTGTTGCAGAGCATAAAGCTAGTAGCTAAATCATCATTCAGCACAGCAGATGTGTTACTCAAAACATTACTTAGTTTCAACTCTGAAGCTAAATCATGCAAGGCCCATAAAGTGTTTTGCTTACATCATAAAGGTTAGGTAACTTATTTTTATTCTCCAACTGTAAAACAAAATCATGATAAACAGCAGTAAGTTTTTCACTCAAACCCGACAGCTCACCCCGTGGTGCGCATTAACTACACTGATTTTAGCCCTTGACGTCATACTTATTTCGGGTACAGTGGGATGTCCTAAGCCAGCTCTTTTCTGCTGCAGCTACACAAGTCTGAGCACCACCAGATTTCCCATACACTGAAATGTTCATTATGTTCCTCAAATCTTCCAAAAGTGGAGATGCAGTATCCAATTCAGACAAAACACTACGTCACCACTAGTTGATAAACAATAACCGATAAAATGATAAAATGAACAACAGTAACGTAAGTCCTGTAGGCAGCATGTGATATAACTTCTCAGTTTTCCGTGTTTTAAAAGACACTAAGCAAGGTCACTTTCTGGTTTGTCCATTGTCATCCTTATCAAGGAGGAAATGTGACCACTAATGAGCAAAATCCACAGATGTTAATTATTACTGTGTTATAGGTGCAATTTAGAATACCAAAAATTAAAGTTGTTCCATAGCAGTCCTTTGAAAGGAATTTCAGTCTGTTTTTTAAGTGTTCCAGGAAAAAGAGCTGTATGTTTAATTTGCTGACTTTTTTCCCCCCATAATAAAAAAATAGGCAAGAGGAGTAGTTCAGTGTAGCATTATGGTATTAATAATTTCTTCAATAACGCAAAAAGTTGGTAATAACAAAAGTCTCAAAGTTCTTGAATGCTAAAGGAAAAAAAAAAGCTATGGTTGTTTTGGAACGAGATGGATGCATCTGTAAAACAAAACTCTGATGGAAACTGTGTTTGCTAAAGTTGGATAGAGCAGTCTCAAACTTAGAAATCTTACTTGCTCTCTAGACAGGACCTACTTACCCTTCAGACATGTTATAGTGGCACCACAATAAAGTGCACAAACGGGATTCTTTCAACAGTGCATGACAAATGAACACAAGCACCCACTAAGTACAGTGGTAGTATACGGAAACATCATGTTATTCAATGGGTTGGAGGAATATAATTTAAATTGATTTTGAAGAATCTTGTTTGCTGATAA